GGCAGTTTTTGATCATTAATAACTAACCAAGCTAACAACACACGGGATAATGGGAAAGTACCTTTTGTTGTCGATAGATGGCAGCTTCATACGTTATGCTGTGAACGAGGTCAATACTCTGCCTACTTAGTGCGCATCGAGGAAACGTCATGGCCGGTAGACGGTTGTCTATCGAGCAGCGTGTAAAATGTGTGCGCCTTTTCTCAGTTACTAACAATATATCAGAAGTCACACATCAGGATCGGTCAACAGACACAACTGCGTGTTTTGGCGGCCAGAGAACCCCAGTACCACCATTGAATACGATTTCCAGTCCCCGGGAGTGATGGTGTGGGACGGCGTGACGTACGAAGGACTGATTGGCCCGTTCTTCCTTGAAGGTTGCGTCACGGGGGAAACCTACCTAAAGTTGCTGAGGGAAAGTGTCATCCCAGAACTTCAGAGGAGAGAGAACTTTGATGAACTGTGGTGGCAGCAAGATGGGGCCCCACCACATTTCGCCAATATTGTTCGGGCGTTCTTGCATCAAGTTTTTCCTCAACGCTGGGTTGGCCGTCGAGGGCCTGTGGAGTGGCCGCCCGATCACCTGACATCACCCCACCAGACTTTTTCCTTTGGGGTTACCTCAAAGACAAGGTGTACGCTAATCCCATTGACAGTGTGAAACATCTGCGTGAGGTGACTGTTCAGGAGTTCAATAAAGTTCCGGTGAATATGTGTAGAAAGGCGTGTGAAAATGTTGCTTTGCGTCTGCAAGCCTGTGTTGACTTAGGTGGTGCCCAGGTTGACCAGCATCTTGAAAATCGATGACTTATGTGTGTGCGATTCCATTTTTGTAACCACTGCAATTGTTAACATTTATCAATAAAAATATCATCCAATCAAAAACTGCCTAATTGAGTCTGGCACACCCTGTGTATTACACCAACAGAACCCTTTCGCTACAGCCACAACAGAGCTGAATCTTAACTACTCCTTGAGACAGAATTTCTAATTCATTTCATAGTCAAACTGTCCAGCACACGCCAACTCACCAATGTTGCCAGATGGTGCATAAGAAGCATCTGTCCGGTTATTTGATTGTCATATATCCTGATCGAAGTTGGCAATATTCGACTGGTATCAGCCCCTGATGATAAAAGGGTTCCGACCAGCATACGAAGGAGCCGAAATGACACGCAAGTTATACACCATCAAGTGATATATTGCCCTCAGTCCCAACACCATAAGCTAATAATATGAAAACGTTGGTAATTCTCGCCTGTGAAATCATGTGCGAATGATTGATGATATCACAAACTCTGTATAAGCAATGCGTGATTAAGGTCTGTTAATCTTTTCCATTTCAGTATTTCCTCTCCACTTCTTAATTAATGTCTAATATTTTCAATGAGGTTAAATTATTTTACTTTTGTAACTTAATTACTAATTTGTATAAGAATCGTAGTTTCATGAGCGCCAGTCTAATAATATATCTATGTAGGATTTGGGGTTCATATAGCGGTGGTTATGAAGAATACTCTTAAAAATATATTGTCTCGTGCCAGGAAAACGCAATAACAGTGGGCCGTTGTCTGGGAATGCCTTAAGCAACAAACGCGTTTCCCCGGAGACGAAGGGCAACAGAAAGTCGTTGGTAGACAACGGCAAAACCGAATTGTTGAGAACGGTGTTCTGGAAACGGTCCGCATAAGGCCTATTTAGGGGACTGAATATACCTATACCGTGACTCTGCGAGTCGTAGAAGGCGACGAAAAGGGAAGTCCCAAGGGACTCGCACCCGAGAAAGACTGCGCGGACAAGGACCAGCAGCATATACAAAAGACAGACCCGTCCTCTTCTCAGGGAGGGCACTCCACAAAAACAAGATCGTAACTGTAAAACAGCAATAAATATCTGGTCATGAGACCAAGATGGGGCTTGACACGAAGACTTACTGACTGACTGACCGTCAGTCGCAATGTGACTATGACTTTGACTTCGACTTTGACTTTGACAGAAAGTCAGGCCCGTGTGGAGGTGGGTTCGAATACCTCCACCATGACCCTGCGAGTCGACGGAGGCGACGAAAAGGGAAGTCTCAAAATTGAGACAGAAATATATTGTTTCGAGGACCAAGGGTCTCAGACCCGAGAAAAACTACACTGGCAAGGGCCAGCAGCATATACAAAAGACAGACCCATCCTCTCGTTAGAGAGGGCGCCCGCAAAAAACAAGACCATAACTGTCAAACAGTAATAAAGATCTGGTCACAAGCCCCAGGTGGGTGCTTTATGCCAAGACGGACTTACCGACTGACCGTCGGTCGTAAAATGAGACTCAGACTTAGACTTAGAAAGTCAGTCGTTTTCAGATACTCGCCGAGAGCGGTCGCCGAGCAGATCAACAGGCACTTCACCGAGATTAAAGGTACAAGAACACGCCTCTGTTGTGGGGCCTGGTCGTCGACAATCTCGTGTGGGGACTTAATGATGATGGGTATCATACAGAAGGATATGTTGGTGATACAGCAATCCTCATAAACTGAAAATTCCTTTCGACAGTATCAGAGCGTCTTCAAACAGCTCTGTACATGGTCCAACGATGGTGTGAAAGAACAGGTCTTTCCATCCATCCCAACAAGACGGTAGTTATGCCGTTTACTAGGAAGAGAAATATAAAGGGTCTTAAGGAACCGACCCTCTTCAATAAGACGATCCAGCTCTCCAGCAATGTCAAGTACCTTGGTCTAGAATTAGACAAGGAACTGACATGGAAAGATCAGCTGGACAAGGTCATTAACAAAGCCTATAAGGCTTTTTGGACATGCAGAAGCATGTTTGGTAAAACTTGGGGACTGCAGCCGCACGTTGTGCACTGGATATACACTGCAATTGTACGACCCATAATTGCCTACGGCGCCACAGCATGGTGGCCCAGAGTCAAACTCAAGACAAGCAAGGCAGAACTTAGGAAAATTGCAAAGGTTGGCTTGCTTGAATGTCACAGGAGCTATTCGAACATCTCCAACAGCTTCACTGGAGATACTCCTTGGACTCCCCCCCCACTGCATTTACAGTTGGCGGCAGAGGCCAGGGCAGGAATCTACCGTCTCCAGTGCAGTGATCAACGGAAACCTAGATCCGATAGTTTTGGCCGTGCATACATAACTCAGGACATGAAAAAGAACCCATATTACAAATGGGGTCTGACAAAATGATACTGAGACATGTATATGAAAAACCCTTCACAGTCAGATTTCCTGACAGGAGTGAATGGGAAGACGGGTTTCGCCCCGATAGAAAATGGGAACTGATCTGGTATACAGATGGTTCCAAGAATAATAAGGGCACTGGAGCTGGTATGTACTGCTATGGCACAAGGCAAACACTTAGTTTCAGCCTTGGGCAGTACACAACACTATTCCAGGCAGAAGTATATGCCATTAAGGCATGTATTATGGAGAATTTAGATAGGAACTACATAAATAGGAACATCTACATTCTATCTGACAGCCAAGACGCACTCAGAGCACTGGCAAACACCAGATAAACTCAAAAATGTTCTGGGATTGCCACCAAACTCTCATGGAACTAGCCAAACATAACAGGGTACAACTGATATGGGTGCCGGGGCATGTGGGTATTGCTGGAAATGAAACAGCAGATCAATTGGCTAAGATTGGATATGCACATCCATTCATAGGACCTGAACCAGCCTGTGGCATCTCTATAGGAGTCGCCAGAAAGGCAATCAAGGGCTGGACAAATATGAATGACAAGAAATACTGGGGATCCTTGACTGGACTCAGGCAAGCAAAGGGACTCATACGAGGACCCTCTACTAAAAGAGCGAAGGAACTGTTGGAGTTAAGCAGGAACCAGCTACGATGGGTGGTAGGACTACTTACAGGACACTGTCACCTCAAAGGACACCTCTTCAAACTGGGACTAAGTACTCGTAACAGTCCAACTCATGAGAGGTGTCAAGAAGAAAATGAAACAGCCACACATATCCTGTGTGAATGTGAGGCCTTAGCTTATTTAAGATTACGTCACTTGGGTCAATACTTTATGGAAGCAAGTGACTATTTCGACGCCCCCACGTACAAAATCCTGCGCTTTATTTGAAGCGCAATATTGCTGAGGGGATAATCAAAAAGGGAAGCACAATAGATCACTGTAGGTCGCAGTGCAAGGGCTGAGAGGGCCCACACATTGTACATTCATTCATTCATTCATTCATTCATTCATTCTTTCTTTCTTTCAAAGGTACAAGAAGAATTGTGATACTGAACGTGATAATAATTGCACTCTCTGGTGTAAAAACGAACGTTCAATAAACTTATTCGCTAAATCCGAGACATACGTGGAAGTCACTCATCGCGTTACCTAGTATAGACGTGACAACAGGTTTCTCAGAAGTAAGTTACCAGGGAAACACGCAACAACGTTACATACCTGTAGGCAACACGCGACAATATATTTCTTTCTTTCTTTCTTTCTTTCTTCTTCTTCTTCTTCTTCTTTTTTGCTTTGAGTACGTTATTGTGAATTTCACACAGTGGACAATAGTGCTGTATTTCGTCATTGTTAAACTTCATTCCTAAAGGTACATTAAATGAAGGCATAAAACACACATTGCGATCGCATTTTATGCGAACTTGAAATAGTGCGATATAACAAATATCAATAAAGTCTCGCTTTATGTTCCAAGTTTGAAATAATGCGAATCCCAAAAATTCGGCAAGACTCGCGTATGGGTTACAAAACTTGTTTGAATTATGCAAGGTCTTCCGGAACGCATTTTCATAAAATTTGACGGCACTGTGATCTGGACATTATCGACTGTTGACTTCTATCGATATGTATCGACGGGCTACTCAATGAATCGACTGATAATTTCAAGTAGTTTGACATTTCCATAGTAGGTGGCACAATGTGCATCAACAACGGTGCCCTCAAGCGCAATAATTTAAAACTAGGTAATCGATAGCTCAGTTAAAGTGAGGAACGTGATGAATTCCAGCCGCAATTGCCAGTGCTCAGTGTTGTTTGTTGTGCTCCAATTTTTGTATGTTTAACACGGAAATACTGTACACGTCAGGTATATAACGCTGAAAAAGTATTTGCTGAGATATATCCTAGATATGTATCACAGTTGTCGGGAATGTCATTTTGTGTATTAGTGTAAAATTGATATATTTATTCAAGGTGATTGTGTAACTTACTACCTCTGTATGTACTACAAGGATTAACACACGGAGCAAACGTCAATGGTATTTCGTCGTGATAAACTTGGAAGAGAAAATATTTATCCGTAATAAGCAGTTTTATTCACAGAACAGAACTTAATGAATTTATAGCAGCAAGGAACACCGATTAATTTAAATACTAAGAGGTGTATAATTCTTGTTTATGTCACATGGTCATTAGGTAAGCCTTGGTCAGTTTTGAGTGATACGGTTAATAGGAATGGGAAATGACGACCTAGGATATTTAAAATTCAAAACATTTCATGTCTATTACATATATATTAAATATTTCAGAGTAATTCCATTAATCACCCACAAATCTTTTTGTACAATAAAAGAGACCTTTGATCTTGAAGATTAATATCTGATCACTAATTCGAAATCTAAGATAACACAGTGTATGAAGTACTGTCTTTCTTTTGTTTGCCCATCATTACTCAAGAGCAATGTTTTATAACAGTGTATGGACTTGTCAAAGGGATATTATAATATTTCTAAAACTTGAACCCACGTTTCTGTACTTGAATAATCTTTAGACATGCCCTCCACATCCTGAAGGTGTCACAAATAATTGAGCATCCAGAGGTGAAGGGATGGTGGTCCTTGATCTTGAAAGTAGTCATTTTGTACTGCAGCTACTAGAGAAGTAGCTTGATTTGTTTTCAGATTATGCAGTTCAAAACAAAAATAAATTATTACCTTAGAAATATCTAATAATTTCAATTAAAATTAACTTATTTCTTAAGAGTTGACTTAAAAATAATTTAACTACTTCAGGATTATTTGTTTATTTTTAATGTTTCAGTCTTTTGTGTTACCATGAAGATAGGCAGCAGTTGTAAGTAATCGAGACATCTTTCCCGTTTAATTCCTTGACTTATGATCCATGACTGCATAGTGTTTGCTCTACTAGTTGTTGCATGTTATTTGCCAGGCAGTAACAACATTACCCCGGAAAGTGGCTAACCATCATTGAAGGTTTGTTGCCTGGAAACGTCTTCTTGACTGAAGGTTCATTGCCAGGGAACGTCCTGTTGAATGAAGGTTTGCTGCCTGGGAACGTATTGTTGAATAAAGGTTCGTTGCTAGGGAACGTTGTGGGCCTCAAGGGGCCTGATGCCAAGAGGAACTGATTGGCTTTCTAGTGAGAGTTGTTCACACAAAAGGACCTACTGTAAAACGACTTGTTCAACATTTTGTTATAGTTACTTGAATTGTAGTTACATCATTGAGTAATAAAGTGACGTTGCAAGAATACACCTTGAGGTCTTATTTCATGACAAGAGATGTTTTGAGAACGTGGCACAGTTCAGATATTTGGGAACAAAGGTAACAAATCAAAACCTGATTCAGGAGGAATTTAAGAGGAGATAGAATTCAGGCAATGCTTGCTACCATTCAGTCCAGAACCTTTTGTCTTCTCATCTGCTGTTCAAAAACACAAAAATTAGAATATACAAAACTATAATTTTGCCTGTGGTTCTGTATGGGTATGTAACTTGGTCTCTGACATTAAGGAAGGAAGATAGACTGAGGGTGTTTGAGAACAGGGTGTTGAGGAGAATATTAAGACCGAAGAGAGATGAAGTGACAGGAGATGGGAGAAAACTGCATAATGAGGAGCTTCATAACTTACACTCTTCCCCAAGTATAATTAAAATGATCAAGTCAAGAGGATGAGATGGGCAGGGTATGTAGTATGAATGGGGGAGAAGAGAAATGCATATAGAATATTGGTGGGAAAGCCAGAAAGAAAGAGACCACTGGGAAGTCCAAGGCATAGGTGGGTGGATAGTATTAAAATGGATCTTAGAGAGATAGGATATGATGGTATTAATTGGATTGACCTTGCTCAGGATAGGGACCAGTGGAGGGCTCTTGTGAAAAAAAAATGATGAACAAGGTAATGAACCTTTGGGTTCCATAAAATGCTGGTAAATTCTTGAGTAGCTGCACAATTGGTGGCTTCTCAAGAAATGTTCAGCTCCATGAGTGAGTGAGTCTTTTGTGTTACAAAATGTTGCTGAACACATTTCATCTCTTTGTAGTTGGTAGAGGAAGAAACTACAGAAACCATACCACATGATTAGAATGATGTCAATTGGTGAAAACATTGAGAGTCTGCAAATCCTGGAGGCCCATTCCAGTGATGTGACATGCTGTGATTTTGGAGGGAATTTCTACCTTGCATCAGGATCTGGGTAGGTAATATGAAATGAATCACTTTCATGTCATAATCTTATGTCTAATATTGTTTATTGTACTACACAGTCCATCAACAATGCGCCAATTGTTCCTTCTTTCTTTCACTTTTACTTCGACACAACTTGTTTCAGCCCTAAATGGCCATCTTCAGGTGTTTTACTATGTTAAAACCTCTGCACTGCACTAATAATGTTTGTTTGTCACATATAGCATAGTAAGACACCTGAAAATGGCCATTTAGGGCTGAAACATGTTTCATTAAAAGTGGGAGTGAAAGAAAGGAACAATTTGTTGCACTGTTGACAGACTGTGTAGTACAGTAAACAGTTTTAGATACAGTAATGTAACAGGATGCTTAAATATAGGACTGATAAACTTATGTTCTAATCCAACCACAGTGCACAGACTCTGTTCCACTTTCATGGAACTCGCTGCATGATATTTATATGTTCACACTGAACTCGCTGTTTTTCAGCATGTGTGGGGAATGGGCTGTGCCAGTTGCATGAGGAAAACTTACAGAATACAATTTTCATGCTATTTTCGCCCTTCCCTGGCTTTATAATATTTACATTTTCTGTTTGAAAGCCAAAACCTTTTTTTCTTTAGTTCCACTGTGGGTGTCGTCTTAGGAAACAACAGATTGATGGGTGGAAGATTTACACTATTCTGTAATGCAATCATGGGGGCCATGCGGTAGCATAATTGGTTGAGGCACTTTGCTACAAGCCGGAAAATAATGGGTTCAAGTCCAAATGAGGTGGATTTTTCAATTTACCTAATCCTTTCATCCACACAATGACCCTGGGTTCGACCCAGCCTCTAACAGAAATGAGTTACAGGAATCTTCCTCGGGGTAAAGGTCAGCCAGTCTGACAACCTCACTGCTATCTATGAGCCGATTGTCTAGAGAAAATGTGGGAGCCTCAACATCCCACAACCCTATGGGCCTTCACAGCCTGTTACAGGGATAGCTTTAACTTTTTTTAAATGCAAACATACATATTCGGCTAACCTCTACTGTAATCATGCATCTCTGTGAGTTATGGTACCTGTGTGTTGACTGATAATGGTTAGCACTTCTAGTGGTTGGGAGTACTACTGCTTATTAAATGAGCATATGTGCCTTGCAATGGGAGTACTACTGCTTATTAGATGAGCATATGTGCCTTGCAACTTTGTATTTGAAGTAACTCTGGAAAATAGTAAATTGTCCTCAAAATTCTTGCGATTTGCATGAGAGTTCCAGATGCATGTGTGCTGGATAACCAGGAGTTTGCTATTTAGCTTTTCTTAGTCTTCAGGATCATCATCATCATCAGCAGCAATCTGTCATGCGACAGGTCCACAGTCTCTTCCAAAACCACGATAAGGTGGAGACACCAACGAGGGGGTCTTCAGGATGTGGGATATTAAATTCTAGGTGAAAGCTTTGTTATAGTGGGTTGAAATTCTAATTACCAGATTTACATACAGTGGAATCCCCATTAGTATTCTTCAATTTAAGGATGTCCATCATTTAGTGTTCAGTTTCAATGATTTCAAGTCCATAATGCCATCTGTTAAATTACTTCCTTTTCAAAGTTTCCTCAGTCCATTGTTGAAATCCACTCCTCCAAAAAGAAACCTAATGAAGGTCTTGTCGCACAGTGTTACTTCTGTGGGATTGTCTATGTTGTAAAAGACAACCACGTAAATCTGTAACAGTTGTATATGTTAAATTGTATAAATTGGATGTACAGAATAGCTGTAAAGCTATGTGGAATGTCAAAAGTTGGCTTGCCCTGAAAAGGGCAGTTTGTTCCACCGTGAGTGCGCTGGTAGAATTTGCTCCTTTGTAGTAGACCAAGTCTTTACGGCTGTTCAGCTGGTTTATCTGGCCGGTAATGTGGTGCTGCGTGCGCCTGTAGGAACAGCTGCCTACTGCGCCGTTGCTGGAGAGTTGTGGCAACTACGTTAGCTGCCTGGTCCCAGAGTGAGGTTGCTGGAGAGTTGCAGCAACTACGTTAGCTGCCTGGTCGCAGAGCGTGGTTGCTGGAGAGTTGCTGCAGCTACATTAGCTGTCTGGTAGCAGAGTGCGCCTGCTGGAGAGTTGCGGCAGCTGCCTTTGGTGCAATTAACAGCTGATCACTCTGATGACTAATCGCTCTGAACTGAATGTGATTACTCATGATTGCGAGCTTTGGGCTCCGCTTTTTATACCATGCTTGATGGGCGGAGCTTAAACTTGCAGTTGCGATTGTGAGTGCTGATTGGCTAGCGCGCGCTATGATGTAAATGTGGCCCGGACAGTGAGTGCTGTATAAATACGAGCGTTGGCAGCAATGTGATATTGACTAGGTGTTGAGTGCTGTCTGTTAGACCGGCGTGTTAGTATGTGGGATGTTCCCACACTTCATTTTACTGCTCGATGTTTGTATGTTTACTATTTTCTTCCTATATGATTTACAAGTACACCCACTGTTATGATTGTGTAGCAGACTTAATATGTTATTTAGTACTTTTTTAGTATTACTTTTGCAATGGGGTAGGTTGTATAACATAAATTTGTATGGTGACAAATTGGAGAGGATTATGAAGAAAACAGTTGTGGGTTATTTAAGGTACTCTCTCACGATTTGTCTGGAAGTAGCGAGTATTGTGTGGCATTCACATTCTCAGTATACTTCTTAGATCATACTTACTTCTTATTTAAGATTGTAATGTGTGATATTGGGAATAAGGCAAGGTTACGTTGTAATTTGAATGGTAGAAGTGAGAGGAGATTCAGGATCAACACAGAACTTTCAAGAAGGACCTGGAACATTATATATTTTTTCTGCCCTTGAAGGCTGGAAGTTTATCAGTGTATTTCATGTGCTGTGATATAATAAATAGAAACCTTGGATGCAATTTGAACTATCATGACAGTAGTTTATGTTAACTTCACTACTTGTGCGTAATTTACCGTTATTAAAGTCTTTAACTTCTCATCTGTGTCACATTAATAGTGTACAGCAGGCATGTCCAACGCATCGATCACTGGACGATTTTTAGTCGATCTCATAGGCCTATAAGGAAATTATACGTGAAAAGCGTGCAAATTCACTTGTAATATAATATGATTATATTCAGATTTTGAAGGGGAAATACATATTAAAGTAGGCTACTTTCAATGTATGTTGCTTTCACAACAAACATCATGTGTCTTGTTATTTTTATCAATATTTTTGCTTAAAACTAGGTACGACGATAGGAGGTGGTGGTAGATCACTGGCAGTTTTGACACTAAAAAGTCGATCACAACCTGTCTGAAGTTGGACATGCCTGGTGTACAGTATACTCTGAAATGAAGATGCGAGGATTTCATATATGTTGATATGTTTGCTTTTTATTTACTGATGTAGTACATGATGTGCATATTTGCACATGTACTGTACTACCCACACCTGTTATGTTGATCAGTTTGAACGTATACAAGAACAGAAACTATTCCTTCAAATTTTTTTTATGAGACATACTTTGGAAATTCTTCCCTTTGGCCTGTGCCCTTAACACGTATTTATATGTGTCATGTCAGTAAAGATGGAGTGCAAGAGGAGAATACAGATGATGATAGAGGAATGAAGGTTAAAAAGAATAAAATGTAGGGACAGGAAGAGAAGTAGAGGAACAAGTAGCAAAATTAATGGAAGATTAAAAGTCTAGTGTTCAGAGTTCCTGGCTACAGATCCAGAGGTCCTGGGTTCGATTTCCTGCGCTACCAGATTTTCTGAGGAGTGGGTCTGGAATGGGGTGAACACGGTAATGAAACTTCGGGTTCCAAAAAATGCTGGGAAATTCTTGAGTAGCTGTGTACTACCGTGAAGGGGGTGGTTACAGAAAATACTAAATTACTCTGTCAGCCATCCCTTCGTTGGCTAATCTCACCTCTGACACCACTTTGTAATGGCGTAGAGCGGGCGTGTAAGTTCTGACCCACCTCTACCAACTGTCACGCCCCCAAGAACTGGGGTGTCATTTAATTACCCTAAACTAGGATTCTCCTCACCCTTAAACTGTTTTATTGCATACGGCTGCAGTTGGCTGCCTGGGGTCAATTCTGCCTTCGTCTGGACTAGGATAGCTCCGGATTGGTCTGGGAAGGGCTCTGTTCGTGGAGGTAAATCACAACTCTGTGTACATCCTACCCTAATTCCACTGGTCTATTTACACACATATTTACAGTAATAAGAATGCCGACGTTCTGTCGGATCTACATAATACCTTTGCGTTGACGGGCTATCACTTTCCTTCTGATCTCCCACCTAGGGAGTATGGCTTGAGTCTGTCTCTTCCCTTCATTCTCTACCACTCATTACACAGTTTCTGTCCTATCCTATCCTAATGCTCACAGGGCACACTGGAGATTGCACTTCAACAATTTAACAAACAACTATAAAGTTTAAGTAACAGGGCTAGTATGAGCAAATTGACTTACTTGACGTAGAGACGTAGGCGACTACCACCAACCACTATCTTGTTGCACCCATGCCGAAACAGGGCCTTCGGCACTTTTCTAAATATTACATTTTGATCAACATAAGAACGAAAAAGGAGCCTCTCTTTTCACACCTTTGTACTCTGAAACAGCTGGCGCAGCAGCTTGACAAGAAAGGAAAGTTACCTCCTCCTCTTGCCCTAAGTAAGGGTGGTGGCCTTCTATTGGTTCAACTTCTTTTCTTACGGACGAATCCGCGGTGTCTCATCCCTGTGTATTTGGTAATTTCGTTGTCTCCCAGTGGCCTACTGAAGCGAACTTCCCGCTTGTGCGATTGCGCACCTCTGCTGACTAAGACATTCTTGACTGAGTTCCACAGTCTATGTGTTGCCATCCTTGCTCTGATCAGTGTGAATCTCTTTTGCAATTCTCATAACATTTGGGGCAATCTCTCAAATTTCTCTTCTCGAAATTTGCGGCATAACAAGCTATATATTTGGCTTCTCCTCAAGAAGGGCTCAGCTTCGTAAGTAAGTAAGTAAATTGTTCGAGAGTTTCAAATATAAACATTTAGGCAGGCATATGAATAGGCATGACCCCTATTGTACATGCTCACTTGTGTATATATGTGTGTAAGGGGTGGACCATAAAATCTGGCCCTCGCACTGCCATCTTCAGTTATGTTTGTTCTTCCCCTTTGGATTAACCCTTTGTTGGTCCTCCACTTCAAATGAAATATATGCTCACTTGATACACACTGTGCAGAAAATGTTTAAGAAGCTCATTTGTGTAATTATCCCTGCTTATAACCTTAGATGTCACTGATACTAAATAACATCCTTCTGAGCCAACATTATAAAATGGTCTATCGACCATTTAAGCAAGCAGCTTTCTCTGCAATTGTCGTTGAATGCCTCAACCAAAAAGGAAGAGTGAAACTTGTACAAATATGTTGCAGGGATAAAACTGTCCGAGTATGGGAATGGAGTGCGGGGGAGGGGTATGTGGAGATGTCATACTCTCCACTGACTGGTCACAAATACGGTGTGACGTGCATCCGATTCTCACCACAAGGGACCATGTTGGCAACATCGTCTGTAGATGGCTCCACCATGCTCTGGAGTGTCCATGTAGGTATTGGTGTTTCATCATTTAACCTTTATTTGCGGTTTATTTAATAATGCCATAAGTCTCTCTGACTGTATGACATTGAATGGAAGAAAGATTGATCAATAATGAATTGGAAAGGATATGGAAGGAAGTGGGTGTGGCCTAACTGAGATACTATTCCAGCAGTTGTCTGAAAGGAATTAGGTAAACTACAAAAAGATCAATCAAAGCAGTTGGTGTCCTGGCCAAAATTTACACTTGGCATTTCCTGAACACAAGGGCATGCAAGTAGCATAGTTGGTTGTGGCACTATGCTACAAGCCAGAAATTTGCGGATTTGAGTCCCAATGACATGGATTTTTTCAATTGACCTAATCCCTCCAGCCGCACTATGACCCTGGAGTCGTCCCAGCCTCTAACAGAAATGAGTACCAGGCATCTTCCTGGGTGGTAAAGGGTGTCTGGCCCACAAGGCTCACAACCTTACCGCCATGGGGGAGCCTTGACATCTCACAACCACATGAGTCTTCAAGACCTGTTACTTTACTTCTTGAACACAATACGACTGGAGCTAACTTGCTTAGTATCATTTGATATTATGTTGATGTAATCAGAATGTAAGATGAGTCCCATCAAAATGTATAGTATTAACAGCGCTGACATGAAGCCAGGATGGTTCAGTCAGTATAGCAACTAGGCTAGAGCCTGGAGAACTGAGAAGTCGGGGTTTCATTCCTGCTAGGAGTAGGAGAATTGTCTCTTTTCCACAGTGCCCAGACCAGCTCTGGGGCCCGCCCAGCCCCCTGTTCAGTTGACGGATACTGGGAGCTATCCTGTATGAAGATCTCACTAAGTTTTATTAAATGGTCCTCAAGTCCATTTGAATATGCCAGCTTATTCATTCACTTTATTTAATGTATGTGATTTCTGTTCTTGTATTCTCAGATTGGTCTGCCTTGCAATATTTTCTCATTTTCATTTAAACTTAAATAATATTTTCCTCTATCCCTAAGTTAATTTCTGCAAGTACAGTTTATTATTCAAAATTAGTAATTACATGTTTGCCTGAGTCAGGATAGCATAGTTGGCATAGTGACTGGCTACGGGCTGGATGACTGAGGGGTTGGAGTTCGAGTCCCAGTGGGGGCAAGAATTTTCTTTTCTCCACATTGTCCAGACCAGCTCTGAGGCCCACCCAACCTCCAATCCAATGGGTACTGAGGGGCTCTTACCCTGGGTGTAAAATGACAGGGACATGAAGCTGACCACTCACCTCCAGCTAGTGCTGAGTTCAAGAAAATGTGGATCTACAAATCTACTTTTCCATACACCTTCATGCCATAGTGCTTAATTAGTTAATCACAGGGAGAAACATTACCTTTTTTTCATGTCTGTATTTCTGACAGCATAGTAACACAGAAGCCTAATATAAAATCTCTTTGTCAGTAGTTCAGTATCCATGTATTCAACTGTGCCTTATGTTACAGTATGTATTTAAAATAAAAGTTTTACTGATTAGATGAAAGGAATTGACACAAAGCATAGTTCTCTGTTTTTATTTTATTTTTACAGTGATTTATGTTTTGGTGCCTTGATCTACATGGAATAATTTGTGATTTTTTGTAGTCCGGAGTTCGGATCCACACATTTATCCAGGTTAGTGGAGGGGCTGTGAGAACTTGTCGCTTTACACCAGATTCAACCCTTCTTGTGTCAGCAGGAGATGATGGTTCAGTCTGTGTGTGGGACATGGTTCACAGGAACCTTGTCAGGTAAGATATAAAAGTAAACTGATATTGGACCTGAACTGGTAACAAATATTATTAACACCTAACAGAGAGCGTTTGAAACCCCACAGATTTGCGTCCTATAGTGTGGCTTGTAATGAATTGAAACTATATACGTTTGTTCATGGGTATTCCTATTGCATCTTGAATCTTGGTTACCTGATAGTACTTATAGTTTCTTAATGAAAACGTTGTTAAATAAAACAGTGAACAATGTTCATTATTACAGAGTCTGTTGTCTCAAATAGTGACACATGAGGTTTGTATTCAGAAGATGCTTGGTTTGGATATGCAAGACCCTGATTGTCCTGGCTGAGGATTCTTCTTGTTTTCTTCACGCCCTCCAGACAAATGTTAGAACAGTATCCTAAATTAGGCCACAACCAGTTCTTTCCATCTCCCTTCCTGTTCATTATTCTCTGTCATCCATTCATTCACACAATATTATAGTCTTAGTTATTGACAGTCTTGTTTAATAAACTACAGAAGTATTAATTATTAAACACAAAAAATTAGCTCTAAAAGTTTGTGACAATGGTGCACTAATACAAATACTATGTTTCTGGACATTATCCATCGTCTTGTCTTTATCTAAAACACCATCCTGTTTTTAATTTTTTCACAAAAAAAATCAGTTCTCTAATGTGTGGTTGTCGTATGACTTGAAGTAACACCATTAAAATACACTTGTAAGTTTTATGCATGCATGTTGATATTCAGAATTGCAGAAAGGCGGACAGATATGCTTACTGTTACTCACATTTCAGGGTACCTGATAGCATAGTTGGTTGAGGCACTATGCTACAAGCTGGAAGGTCACGGGTTCAAGTCCTGATGAGGTGGATTTTCAGTTTACCTAATCCTTCCAGCTGTACTATGGCCCTGGGGTCGACTCAGTCCCTAACAGAAATGAGTGCCAGGAATCTTCCTGGGGCGTAAAAGGTGGCCAGTGCGTAAGGCTGACAACCTTACCTCCATCTATAAGCCGATTGTCTAGAAAATGTGGGGTCCTCAACCTCTCACAACCCTATGGGCCTCCACGGCCTGTTAACAAGGATAGTTTTACCTTTTTACACACATATCTTCTTCAGAGATGACCTAGAGCTACATATTTTCTTTTCAAAGGCATACTTTATTCTGTTTATGATTTTTTTTAATTTACATAAAGCACAGAGCCATGATAGTGCAGTCTGTATAGTGAGTGGCTATGGGCTGGAGAGCCCAGGAGTTTGAACCCCGCTAGGGTCACGATTTTTCTCCACTCTACGTCATGCAGACTGGTTCTGGGCCCCATCCAGTCTCCTCTCAAATGGGTACCAGGAGCTGCTTCCATGGGGGTAAAGCAGCCAGTACGTGAAGCTCACCACTCACCTCCATCTAGTGCCAAGGTCAAGAATACGTTGATGTATACGTCCACTCCCCCACGTGTCTTCATGGTATGGTGCTTGATTAATTAAGCACAGGGAAAACTTTATCTATGGAATGAAGTTTTGCTTCAGACAGTACTGTACACTATGTTCCCAGATTGGTGAGGGTAAGCCAACTGGTGACAACTGCTTTTCCTTATTACCACTGGATTCTGTTAGGTGTTCTTAACTGCTGCCCTTAAACAGAGTATATGACTGTTGCAGGACATTCCAGCAGCATGAAGGTACAGTCCAGTCTGTCTCATTCACGCCTGACTCACAGTACCTCCTAACAACCTGCACACTTGGTGTCATGAAAATGTGGCATGCCTCAGACAATAGTGATGTCAGTCATGGAGATGCCATAGTGTGCCTTGCATCTGTGGATGATGCTCATGACCTTGGTGTTGTAAGCAGTGACTTCTCTCCACATCAGGAGCTCCTTGGTATGTATATGACAGCTCTTGAGATTTTACAGCCAAGGCCAAAAACACATGTAATAAATTCCTTATTAGCAGCAAGAACTGAACTGAGCAAGTTTACTTAAGTTTTTCATAGCAGCGATTATGAAGAGTTGTTAAGTTTACTTAAGGTTCTCATAGCAGTGCTTATGAAGAGTTGCGTCCTCTGAAATATAACACCATTTAGTCTATTGAAAGGCAGCTGACGTTTCAGAGAAATATGTCACCTCCATCTTCAGGGTTGAAGAGTAAACCAGGGAAGAAAACAACATAAAGCAGACAGCAAGCAACTACTTCATACTTGTTTCTACCCTGGCTAATTCTTCGACCCAGAAGATGGAGCTGATATGCTTCTCTGAAACTTGGGTTAACTTTCAATAAACTACATGGTTTCGTGTTCCCAAAAGATGGCAGAAGACTGTTCTTAAATTTAAGGAAGGATTGCTTAAATACAACCCACGCTATAATGCCACATCATTTTAATTGAATCTGCTATACTGCAACAAGGAAACACCTCTCTGATGAAATAACACTTGATCATTGGAGCCAAGAAGTTAAATAAAATTGTTTCCTCTATTTTTAGATGAGGATGGTTCCCTGAATAATCGGTACCTGTTGGCAACTTGTGGGAACGATAATGTTGTGAAACTGTGGCATGTTGTTGTGGGCCAGTATGTGAAGCATCTTGATATGACTCCATGTGAGCTCTCCATTTACCTCACACTGGAGGGTCATACATCAGCTATGATGTGTGTTCGATTCTCGCCCAGTGGGAGCTATCTTGCATCATCCAGCCTGGACAAAACTCTCAGGATCTGGGAGGTGAGTTGTTTGGAGTACTAGAACATACAGAGTACACCCTGAATGGTGAGTCCTATGTTGATGTCCATACCACATTCAAAACTTACATCGTGCACAGAGTAAAACTTCATTTCATAGATTTTTAAGCTGATGGATAATGGAGCCAGAAAAAATTATATGAAGGGCAGTCAAATGAAAACGGGTGAGAAGCCAAAACATACTAAAGAACATTTCTTACCTCAAAAGTAATCTCCAAAGCTGTTAATACTGTCACGTGTTGGATGTATAACGCGACAAATAACTTTGCACCATATTGGATAAAGCGAATTCTATTTCATACTCGCTCTTACAATCACACAATTCACAATTACACAACTACTGCCAACTGCAGTATTACAATCACTTGGCCTACAACTGACTGGTTGACTGACTCCCTGGCTAAGTCATAACTAACTGTCTTCGTAGGCAGTGTAGTTCTCTTATAAACCCTCAGCTGGACAACGGGAAAAGCCTCGCTTCCTTGTTGCCTAGTCTCCGTGTTTGCCAGTAGCCTAGCAACGCTGTGGGGAGTTGTTTACAGCTACGTAGCAACTGTGTCGTCCCGTGTTACATCACCGCGGGGAGAGATGGTTGCTTAGCAACCGCTGTTTACTCGCTTTGCATAGTGACCAGCGTGCTCGGACTCGGCTCACTTCGGCTCCGCTCGGCACATCATGGCTGGCGGGGAGGGAGGGGCGTCATCCATAGCGCAACACATCACAATACATTTATCCCACTGGGAGATAAGGTGGTCAATCCCGTCCTTGAAAAAGCCTGTGGGCTGTCTACGGAACCACATCTTTACCCAGCCACACACAACTTCATCTGATGCAAACCGATGTCCACAAACGTCTCTCTTCAGTTCTCCAAAAATGTGAAAATCACATGGGGAGAGATCTGGGCTGTAGGGGGGATGTTGAAGCACTTCCCAACCAAATCTCTGTAGCATATTCCTCACAGAGTTGGGAGTGTGGGGCGCGCATTATCATGAAGAAGGATAATACTATTCGATAATGTTCCAGGGTGTTTTGACTTTATGGCACGTCTCAGTTTCTGCAAAGTGTCTCCATAGCGCTGTGCACTGATTGTGGCCCCATGCTTTAGAAATTCAAGAAGCAGAGGGCCCTTGCAGTCGAAGAAGAACGTCATCATCACTTTACCGGAACTTGTGTGTACGGCTTTCGATTTCTTCCATGGGGAAGAATTCACGCATTTCCACTGTTGGCTCTGCCGTTTGCTGTCAGGATCAAAATGGTGGCACAAAGTTTTGTCCCCAGTGACAATACGAGTCAGAAGAGCATACTCTTCCTCGTGGTATTGTTGCAAGTGACCCAGTGATACAGCCATTCTCTAAGTCTTCTGTTCCTCCATGAGATGATGTGGAATCCACTGCGTGCAGATTTTGTGGTGCAGCAAGTGTTTTCTCACAATGGCGTGTACGGAACCGTGACTTATTCCCATCAAAAGAACAATTTCTTCCACAGTGATCCATTGGTTTGCCCAGATATGACCATCCAATGCGGCAGTAACTTCAGGAGTGATGACACGATGAGCCTGTCCTGGTCGAGCATCATCTTGCAGTGACACACGTCCCTCTCGGAATCTCTTATACCACACCAGCACACATGAATGTGACATGCTGTGTTCGCCGTAAACAACAGACATGCGACGATGAATTTCTCGTCCTCCTACTCCTTCAGCAGTCAAAAAGCGCGCTACACTTTGCTGTTCTTCTTTACCTGCCTCCATTACTGATGTTGGATGACCACATGTAGCGCTAACCTTACTTCCAGCTCAATAAACAAACGACTAGTGTGCAAGGGCACGTTCTCACTGTGCTTTCCCGAGTCCCCCCCAGATGTTCGTACAGTAAGCAAATTCCAGTGTTACCAACTTGCCACCGTGTGAGTTATGCATGGTGACCAATTTTCATCTGACTGTCTTTTATATATACAAAATATATTGTTGTTTAAGAGTTGTTCAAGTGAAACCTGCTCCAGGGATTCTTCTGGGATAAGGCATATAGGCTGTTAAAAATAGTCCCCATGTGCACTGAAACAGACATCATACTGATGCACCAGCTGGTGGAGTATCTCTCCAAATAACTCCATCTTCATTTAATAAGTTTCATTGTCATTTAGCTATGAATTCTAATATGGTTTATCCTTTTCATATTACATTTCCACATCTGGCAGCAAAGTGTCTCCATCTGTCTCCATTTCACAAGGCTTGGTGTTTGTCGGAAGTGAGTCAAAAATTCACCATCATCCTGCTTGACCTGTAGCATAGCCCTGTTAGGCATCCATTTTCGGGGTTCTTGTCAGACTTTCATTACTACCTTGACGGTGTTAGCGTCTAGGTCTGAGCTTTACTTTGGCGTCTGCTTCAACATGGTTCCCCCTCCTGTGGTATGGACATGGTGTCTGGCTTCTTATAAAGACCAGAAATAACTGTGTGCATGAATGCTACTGTGTGATTAATTTATTAAACCAGTATTACATTGGACATTTTCAGAGGATATGTTTGAGATAGGCTTGCAGGAGTTAACCCTAATCCCATCCTTATGTGACTGTCATTATACTAACCGCTTTTTGTATTGATTTAATCTCTTAAGATTACAGGCGGCAGTTTGGATCAAGTCCAGAACATTTTGAATACAGTTCAACCCCTGTTTAAGAGTTCTTTTGGGAGCAGTAAGTTTGAGCACTAAGCTCACTAGACCTTAAATGCCAGAAATTTAAAGGCAAGGTTATAGACTTGGGACAATTGAAACTGAACAGTGAATGAAGGAAAGCCTTAAATTGAGGAATATTAAAATTTTTTCCACTCTATCATTTTGTGTGTTACTCACTAGACAATAATAATGCTATTATTAACCCGTTGCCGTGGTTCGTCGTGTATGTTTCGTCAGGGATTTAAATCGTCTGGGGGGGTTCGACGTGTATGTTTCGTCCAGCTGCACACGTATGTTATAACGCCCATAATAATTGATGGTTTTGCTGTAGATTGTTAGATTTTTCACTGGCCTGTTGTCAGGAGGACTGTATTTAATGACACACGCGTTTAAGAGCGCTAAGTCGTCGTTACATATGCCTGTCTTGCAGCAACGTTCCTGTGG